GCCTTCATTGCAAGCTTTCATGCCGAACACTGAAACTAAGCAAGTCAGTAAAATTTATCTGGACAGAAGGTACATTGAGATTCAAATTAAGAATAACCATTTGTTTAAGTTTTCTCCAGCTGCTGCAATCATTGGCTGGGAGCATTAAGGCATGTGAGCTTCTCTGTCTTAGCCGTTTAGGGGAAAAAACCCTCGTGCTTGCTGTTATCACTTTGTGTACGTTAATATTTAATAAAAAATACTTGTTTTGCAAACCTGCTTTTCTGAGACTATTGAAAAATCAATCCAATGTCTGGAAGCTAAAAAGTAAAGTTATTTGCCTCAGATCCTACAGATCACAAAATGATGTGGAAGAAAAACATTCTGACAAAATCTCATTTTCTATTTCATAGAACAACTTAACACACTACCCACAGTCTTTCCATGAACCAAAGAAAAAGTTAATATTTTTAAAAGTTAACCACAAAGTTAAAAGTTAACCACAAAGACAAGAACACATTCCAAATCACATTTTTAAGACCTCAAGATCTGCTTTGCTTTTCAACATCACATTTTGTTTCTTATTTTACATTTTTCTGTTACAAAGATGACACACAACAGGATTCTGTACAAAGCAGCATACAGAGGTGTCACGTAGGCACAATCTGCTGCTCTATGAGAGATTATCAGTCTTCTTCCTACTACCTGCCCTGGTAAAAATAAACTCCGTACCATGTGAAATATTAACACGAAACATGAATGTAAGCGTATACAGTGTCACAGACTTTGTTTACATATCAAGTAGTGAGGTGAATTAGAGCAGATTAGTAGATCAAGCCATTTAATGCCAATCTCTTCCATTTGATGTTCTTTGAGGTTTATACTAGACTAGACTTAGCCTTCTTCACTGGACCAAAAATGCAACTCCAAGTTTTCTGATGGAAAGCTGTCCTACAGATCTTTGCTCCCTTGACTGAAGAGACTTCTCTTCTAGGAAATGTCATGCTGTCCCTTTCATCTGCTTCATACACATGACAGCAGCATGTCTGTTCGCACATCGCCAGTAGACTCCATTGTGAAGTTTCTATATCCCTTGTCTTCCCTATCTCTGGTCACAGAACCAAAACATATGCCAGTGCCCTCTTGCCAAGAATGGACAGGATCATCCATGATGTCCTCAACGCCAATGAGCGTCATGAGAGATACTGCATACCCTTCCGCCCCACATAAGGTACCATAAGGTACACTCTGACAATGGTGCAGCACAGGCCTAATTTAATTGTGCTTTTACGGAATGCATAATGGAACCGCAATCTACATTTGGTCATCTGAAAGACACTGGGCTATGTCGGACAGACACTGTGCAAATGTTTCCAATACCTTCCAAATTCAGGGCATCACTTTCAGTCTGAATCACCTTTGAGGACATCTTTGAGACTGAAATGCTGAGCACAGCTTCTTCAGTACCTGTATGCAAAGCTGTCTGCTCTCTTTGTCATAGGTGGGGCATCCAGCACCGCACTTGTGTCAGGACTTTGCTCCTTCACTGAAGACAGTCATCAACTCACTGAGCATTCTGGAGTGCTTGGAGTGGGATGGGAGGAATGCCACTGGACATCAAAGTCTTTCAATCTGGCAAATGTTATGCAATGATAAAAAAGGAACAGATTCCCACTACTTCCCTCTGTCCTCAGTTTTCCCCTCCTCCACACTTGTGTGCTCCCCACACTCCCTTGTTGCATTCAAACCATTTGTTTTGGGTAAACATGGCTAATTCAACTATGCCTTACCACAGCCTGCAGCTCCCTTCACTTTACCACCTTTCTTGAGTGTGACTTGGGGCAGAGGAAGAGATAAGATATTGTCAACAACCAATACTTTAACCCCTAATTTCAAAGAAATGGTATCATCCTGAATGGTAATTGTTGTACAAGCAACTGATTGCAGGGCAGGGACAGGATCTGACATGTGGCCAGAAGTACCAGTACCACTACCACCACTGGGTAGGTCCTTTACACACTGCATTTGAGAAGAGGAAGAAACAGTGTGCCTGGGGTTTTGTGCAGAAGTCTAGGTGGGCTGTGCTATCAAGGCACGACTTATCAAGTCCACGACTTATGCAGTTTCCAGGACTGCGCCTGGCACGCAGGCAGAGCTGGGACCGGGCAGGTGGTCTCTGATGGAGCTTGTTCCTCCACAGAACTTCCCTCACAGTTCACAGTCCCTGGGGAATCGGGTCTCAAGGCATAGCAGCTCTCACAGTCAATCCAGAGTCTTGCACCACCTTTCCACAACTCTGCGACCAGTGCTCTAATTCTACCAGAAACCTCCTAAACACAGTCCCATGCTGTACACATGTACAGGAAAGCAGTACGCGCACTTACTCAGGTGGGCATCTGGACAACTGATTTCTCAGTTCCCATTGCCTGTTGTGGCAGAGAGGTGATGTCCCTGCATGCTGTCTCACAGGGGTCCTCTGGAGGCTGCAGGGATGTAGATGTGTGCAGCACTGTAGGCACATTTTTCCCTGGACTTTTCTCCAGGAATGTTGGTCCTGAGACTAAGGGCGTGGATGTCGCCATGAGCAGTGCGGTTGGTGGAGTGCTCTTCCCTCGCCTGAAGATCTGTTCAAGATCTCTGTGGTAGTGGCACATGCACTGTGCCATCTCTGAAGCACGGCTTTCCTATTTCATCAAGAACATGGTCTTCATCTACTTGAAATGAATGCAGCACTGCATGTCAGTCCTTTCCCACTCGGCAGCAGGTTTGACATTAGCAACAGGGTGGTGCATCAGTTGGAGATGCTTCTGGGCCTTCCAGAGCACATGCTGTCAAGCTTGAGGTTGCCCCTTGCTCAATATTCTGAGAAGTCAATGCAATTGTTGTCACTACTGCAAAATGCAGCAGTAGGAAAGGAGGAATAATTTTAATAAGGTTATAAGAAAGATGTTGTTCATAAAGGAGGAACAGTAAAAGAAATAGGGCTCATGAAGAGGACAGAAGTGAAAGCTTGGGAGAAATAAAGGAGCAGCTGAAAGTCAGAGCAAGCAGACATCTGGTGGTCATTATTAAATATAAAGTCGCACAGAGCATTTGGACCTTTCACATAGCATGAGAAGTACTTCAGAATAAGCTGGGAGCTCTTGACAGTTTTAAAGCTTTCTGTTGGCACATGTACTTTTCATTTGTCCTGGAAAACTTCACAGCAGTGTAGTCCCACTCATTGCATCCTACCCTTTTATCCCAAGTGCCAAAGCTTCTCTTAGCTTTCTCTCTAAAGATGTCATTCATATGTCTAAAACCACCCTGGGAATAAAATCAATACACAAGATCAGAGGACTTATTTCAGAACTGCAGTACTGCTGCGATTTGAAGTATCATGTAGACGGACCCCTAATGACCATTGCTTTTAGGCACTTGAGGATTCTTGAACCACTTCAAGATGTGCTTCTGCTTGTGAGAATCTCACTTGTAAGTTTATAAAGAGAGCAAACTTCAAGCAGTGAAGTGTACTTCTAACTTCCAAAACAGGACACAGCAACGCATAATCAGTTCTGCAGTGTCTGATGCAGCAGCATCCAAACAATTTTCAAGGCAACCTCACCTTACTGCAACTGCCCATGCTTCCTCAGTATCCCTGGGATTCAGAAACATATTTATTCAAAATTCAGGGACAATCCCAGTGTCAGCTACCCACCAATAGCAGGGTGTAAGCTGATAACAGCAAAGCACATCTCAATCAATACCAATTTAACTGGTTGTGCAAACATCAAAGGATTGTTTTGATAAAGTTTGTTCCTGAAAACAGTAACAATCCATTTCTGTTCTAGTATAGTCATCTTCAGTTGTATGGTGTAATAGCAGGAAGATGGAGAAAGTTTAATCGAAATATCCATTTCCTTATGCAAAACTTCTGCACCTATGATGGTCCGTAAAATGGTATATTTCCATCGTGTCATGCTGACTTTTCTGCTCCAGAAGCACTGGGTACAGGTGGTGCACTAACAATTGATACATTTACAATGTCATCAAAGCTTGTTTCATGCTTCTGCCTCTAAGACCGTTGAAAAAGACAGAAGAATTACTAGGTGGGCATCACACTGCACAGTGTTGGAGAAGTTGGGATATATCCAAAATTCCTAATGTCAGGTGAATGCAGACAACCAAGTCTCAGCATGCTTAAGTGCCAACAATGTCAGTGCTTTTACATAAAACATCTTTCTCTATCACCGATGGATACTGGATTCACTCCCTGAAGAATAAAGAAGATGGTTCAAGCAACACTGTATCTTCTTGCCTGGTGATTAGAGAATCAACAATAACTTCTGAAAAAATAACAATGTAAGGCAGTATGATTGCTTTTTTGATCATCAAAGTTAGGATGCAGTGGGCTACTCTAATTGGACTAGTCTCCTCTCCAGCCCACTGAGTTTCATCCTGCAAGAAGAAGGACCAAGCCCTGAATGTCATCTGAGTCTTGGCTCCAGGTGCCTCGAGTGGTAGAGGGAGGAAAGAAGAGACAAGTCTCCTTAAAAGTTCTGGCTCCAACCATAGAGCTCCCAATTGCCTTCAACTCAGATCCAGTAAGAATTTGTCATCTCCAGAGATGCAAAACACATCACACCCTCCTAGATCCAAAACAAATTGTCATCTCCAGAGATGCAAAACACATCATGCCCTCCTAGATCCAAAATAAGGGTAGTCTAATGGTCTGTGGCTGAAGCCTCAGCAACACAGGTACACTTCACCATCTGCGATTTCTAGGTCTGTTGTTTTGGAGTTCCTTGCCCTACTGAACATCACTAGTCACACAGATGAAGTACACAAGTTTCAAGGACATAAAGTAAGTTTTCCTTAAGAATTACTGTAATAGACAGGATAGTATAAACACTGAAGATACATACACAATTTAAACATATGTGGCACGAAGAATAGACAGGCATAAAAAGGGTCATCAGGATC